GCGATAGGAACTTCCCATGTTGCCACTGCCTTCAAGTCTAAAAATAAAATTAACAACCAAAAAATTCAATGAGAATAGACTCTAACCAATTGACTAGAGAGCCACTGACTAATAAAAACTAACATACCATGGTTGCAAAAGTCAATGCCAGGGAGAAGACCCTCCAACGAGACAATTTCTTCTTGTTTCGATGTGAAAGTTGCTCCATTGACTTTGTTATCATTCTCATGACCCTCAAATCTTTATATAAACCCAAAATAAATAAAAATATTTAACCTCAGCTCCTTGTTAATACAGTAAACTTTCACATGTGAAAGCAAATAAGAGGAAAGATCCGGGCACAAAAGTGGTAAGAACTAAAGTGTAACCTCACTTTTTCCATCAATTTCATTAACAGGCTCTCCACTTAGTCCACTATGACTGATGGTCACCTCAGAACTTCTTTCAACTGGACAGGTTGTCTCAGTATCATCTTGAATTTGGGGAAATACATAAGAGAATGTGGAAGAGGAAGGTTCAGAGCACGAGACCAAAATATAGAATTCGCCCTAGCATTACAGAAATCACACAGTATTAACCACCAAAGTTCGAAGTGCAAGGAATGTCATCATATCATAGTCAATCTCCTTCATTGTCCCCACCCACCCCATTTTGAGAGAGAATAAGAAAGAGTTCATTTTGAGGAGATCTCTACCAAAGGAAATATTCAAAGTAGACCTCACTGCAAAAGAAGCATTAACAACAATTCATAATTGCGAAAAAGGAAAATAAACACACTTGATTCCTACTTTATTCGATGTAATTAATACCGACCTTTCTGAAACTCCATCAAGAGCAAGAAGTTTCTTCATCAAACCTTTCACTTTATCTTTATACATTTTCTATAAAACAATTAAACTAACTTTCATCATCATGGGTAGTCAAATTACATGCATTTCATCTTCAAGAGAAACGCTAAACTATATGCTTATATTTACCCGCAATTCAGTTGCTCTATACAAGATTGTTCCTCTCAATTCCAACATCTCATCATCGGTAAACCATAACGGATTCCCAAAAGTGGTGGGAAGCATATCAAGATACCTGAACCAGTCTTTAAATCCACATAAATAATAAATAAAAGAAAATAATCAAATATGTTAAGTACATACGGTTTCCAAGAAGAATTCTTTCGGATACGTTCCATAGTAAGAAGTCTTTAAATCTGTTGTTCGTTGAACGAGAGGGAATTGAAATGTAAAGGGTTGGAGTAAAATTAAGTTCGGTTCGGTAACGGATAATCCTGCAAAATATTATCTGGCACTGCAAATCAACAATCTTCACCTGCTACCACTTTGATATATCTAACCAGTTTTCGGATTCACAACTTTCTTCCTTAGTTGCCTCTTGATGATCAAGCTCTTCATCCCCCAGAAGAACAATAATGCACCACATTGCGCAACAGACTGCCATTAATGAAAGAATCAATAAAGTTTGCAAGTTGTATTTCGTAATGCATAAGGAAACACTTCGGATATGGACATGCAAATACCTGCAGAAAATCACCGAGCAGAGTAGCGTACTGGGGCTCTTTAGGTCGATAGTTGTAGAAGTCATAGAGAAGATGAGTGCTAACCAGCAAATACACAAACTACGGCAAAAGAAAGAACAATTAGATGAGACATGAAAGTAAAATCAAATGTAACTGCTCGGTGGAATTAACATATAACTTCATAGTTCAAACGGAACCAAAATAATCACTCTTAAGAAATAAAAATCTCACCATGAGGAAGACTCCAAAGCCATAGCCAAATACAAATAGAATAGCACCGAGTCCTTTCAAAGCAATAGCGGCCGAAACTAATTTTTAATTTGCCTAATGCGTCCTGAAGGTAGAGGTCTTAGCTTTGTTCGCTTCATTTTTGCATCATTATTTATCTCAAAAACCTAGAGGCATGAATAACATTTGGTTAACTAAAATGTCAGTCTATCTAGTTAATTCATGAAAGTAACTTAAAATACAACCACCATGTTGTCACATCCTTGCAACATTGACCAAATCAAATGTAAGAAAAACATAGTGTTCAAGAAAGAATGTAAGAATAAATTACAATTTGCAAGTCATGAATTCGATTCCTAGAATATCAAATAATTTATAATTTTTTTCCCTATCCCCTTTTGCCAGGGTACTTATCTATCACTTCTATCAATAAAGCTATGTCGATGGATTTAAATCATAACCAATGAGCTTTTGCACCTAAAAGTTATGTCTGTACATTCGTCCCGATCCTAGTTTCTACCAAGGTTAATAAAAAAGAAAGAAAAAAGAATGTCAAAACATAAGGGCCTTTACAAAAGTGCAAGCTTTTGCACCTAAAAGGTGCATCTTTTGTTATGAAAGAATTACATGAAAGGCAAACCTCAAGAATAATAATGCTTTTCTCCAATTTTTTCACATTTCTTTACAAAACATACTTCTGAATATCTAAGAAAGAATAATTTTATCAAATATCTAAGAACCCTTAACTCCTCAAGAAAAGATTTAAAAGATTGTGCATGACAAATAACCTATTAGTTAGCATTATAAAATTGTGCATGACAAAGCATTCAATGAAAACAATCAAATATTTAAAAGACAACATGATTCAACGAATTAGCCGAAGCAGCAACCATCATGGTTCCAGCACAAGTACAACAAAGACCCGCCAAATCAATGACGTCTCCACTCCCTAGCACATATCCAGTCCTCGAAGTCGCCACCACCAGCATACTAGTAAATCGAACCACCCAAAAAAAGTTAACTTTTTTAATCAAACCTTCAAAATTTTCCTAAAAATCTTAATTGAGGTTTGACCTGAGACGAGCCTTGGAGAGCTCCCAGTAACACCGACCGTAGTGACGAGCCAGCTGGATCGCATCACTAGCTTTGAAAGTTAAAGGCTGAAAGGCATCAGATTTGTTAGCGAGAAACCCTAGCTTTAAAACGGAGTCCGATGAGGGAGAAGGAGAGGGCGCCGCCGATGAGGAGTAGAAACGTTGATGAGAAGGAGAAAGTGTTTGGTCTACAACGGCATTTGGAGTGAAAATTGAGAAAGCAGATGCGTAATGGAAGTAATTGAAATTGGTGGAGGAAGAAGAAGCGGGAAATGATGAAAATAATGGGGGAAATTAAAAAAACGACTTTTACAGATGACACACAATTAAAAAGTGTACTCCGTGTTTTTGCAAATTTTTTGGATTATGACTATTAAATATGACACACATTATTGTAAGTCATAAATCGTTCAGATTTTAAAAAACATGACATTTTTTTATGACACACATTTTTTTGCAAGTCATAAATTAATGTGTGTCATCGTTCGTGTGTCATTAAAGGTATATTTTCTTGTAGTGGTTTTTTATATTTATATTATCCATGTTACCAGGTAAGAGTTGTCGAAACAATCCTTAAGTTTTTGGACCCGATTCTTGATTATTTTGGTTAATTCTCTTAAAAATTTTGATTTTACAAAATTTAGCATTGATATTGACCTTTTTGGACTAGGTAAGATCGAAAATTTATAAAATCACATTTTAAAAAGAAAAATCTTAAAAACCTATTTTATGAGACAATTTTGCAATATACGTTTAACCATAGATTCACTAAAAATGGATTCGGAAGTCTATAACACGGTATTCGATACCTACTCGATTATATATCGTCTAAACATTAGAATTTGCAAATTTAGATATAAATTTAAGAAATGATCCTTTAAATCAAAAAGAACTTCATTTATTCGAATTTACTTTAAAAATGACGTCATTTTACCTCAAAAAATTATCGGAGATCGACATCCCGCTATTTAGGATATTATCTCATTAGTTTCTCAAATAAGAATGATATTGCATTAAATGTAAAAACACTAAAAGGATACCCATTTATACGAACAATCCTCGAAAATTATGTTACTACTATTTAAGAGACGATTTCATGGATACCTCGCACAAAGAAACATTGTCTTTATTTTTATTAAAATAATGGAGTTTAAAAAGATGTAAAGATAGCTATGTTCATTCGAACAATTCTCGAGAAACACACTTGCGATTTAAGAACCATGTCATAAATTACCCTCACGAGAATATTACTTTAATTTTTGTGATCTAATTTATTAAAGGAAAATATAAAATATTAAGAAATATAACTAAATAATTACTAATAATAAAATAATAATAGTATCATACATTGAAATAAATTAATTGTAATAAATAAATTACACAGATTGCGATTCTACACGGTCCCAACGGTAAATCAATGACAAAGATGACGACACCTAAATAGGGAGATGATAAGGACAAAATCGACGACAGTGGTCGCGGCGGGCAAGGATGATGTTGGTGGGTTAAAGTCAACGATTTAAGATTTTAGGGATTTGGGGTTTTTTGTAATTTATGAGAAATTATGATTTTTTAAAATTTAATAATATTTTTATTTTTAAAAAAATAAATAAAATTTTCAAAATTACCAAAATGTAACACATACTACTTAATGAGGTTTTTTAATGGCCGTCACAGTCGGAGCCCCTAAAGTGATAACGTTTGTAACATTAGATAATTGGATTGACAAAAAAAAATATGGGCACTACTTTGGAAAAAGGGGTATAGTTTAGGCAATTACTTTTATATTAAGCCTAAAAACAATAATTTTTCAATATAGCATTAACTCTTTTATTTATATAAAAGACGTTATAATATTTATAAATACAAATTAAACCTTTTTTACATAAATATATAACATGCTAGGATTTTCTTTTATACCAATTCCAATAGTTAATATGCATTACTTTGAAGTGTAGATGAAAAAAGAAAATATGAAATGATAAAACACTTGATCAATGAGCAACAGATGAGTATCTATTTAAGATCTAACTAAACCGATGAAGCAAGGACTTGGATCGCATATTAGTCTTTAAAGTTGTCACCTGTCCTTGATACGAATCGAAATGAATCACTCTCTAAAAACACCACCAATAATAATGATGGGAAAAACAAAACACTTTCACCATTTCTATCCAGATTTCGAATCCTAATCATGTACAGATTCACTCAACCATGCTTCAGCATTTCAAGCTCATTTGAATTAGAAACCATAACGGCTCTACGGTTTTCACCTAAACCCTTTAATACCATTTTACAGATTAACAAAGTGATCGAAGAGAGTACCTAGTACAGCAAATCGATCTTGATAGGAGGGAGTTCTTTTTGGCAACGTAACTTCATCCATGATGCTCGCCCTTCATTGCCTCTTTGCTAATGTTTTCCTTAATCCCCTGATAATCTTTCCAAACCACATTAAGTTCATAATAGATAGGACAAAAGGGACAACCAATATCAACAGTAGCCCATAGCTGTGCAGCTGCTTAACCTGCTTTGAGAAGAAGAAAAAAACAATTGTACGATAATAATTTGACATTTAAAGGGCAACCATGTTGGCATTTTAACATCAAAGCTTACTAAGTTCAGGGTATTCTATCAACATTTAGTAATGTTCTGAAGTGAACTTGGGTTTTCTCTGTATTTAGGACATGGGATAATATTAATAACAAAACAAACCTTTGACCTCAAATTGCAGATATAATGTGTTAACTTAAAGTTGGAGTGTGTAAGCATTTCTTATGTTTCTAAGAGACTTCATTTTTCTTGAAGCAACTATATCCGCTACGCATTAGGACTTGGGTATGGATGGGATTACAACCCTTCAAAACCTTCCAAATACATGGAAAAATTTAGAAAAAAAATTTGAACATACCCGCATCGAAGACATACTCATATCCGAAACTCACATCCGAGTCCGAGTAACATTGAGTATTTCAATAGTCGGAATCCAAGATAGTTTTAAGATATTTAGATTAAAAAAAAATCAAGTTCTGATCAAAGAGTAAAAGAATAAACATCTAAGAGCTGACAAGGTAAAGTTTTGCAAGAACCTTTACCTGATCATAGTGCAAGTAAACGTGATAAAATAGGTACATAAACAGGAGTACTCTAGCAACCTGCCAAAGAAAAAAGTAATAAATTTTTTTATAAGAAAAAGAAATACATTAACTGTGAAAATATGAATGTAAGATAATACTCTTAATACCTAATTTTACTAAGAGAAAAATTTGTCAAATGACATTATCATTTTACGAATGAGACTAAAAGCAATAAAATGATTTCACTTACCAGCCATGTTACAAATATTACAACTCCGTTGATTAAGTAAGCTCTGGATCTCTTCATTCCAGCCGTGTCAAGATACCTATATGAACCCAGAATATTGTTATTGTTGAGTAAAAGTAATATGTTTTTTTATGACTGACAGATAAGAGGGATGTACTAGTATGGAGTTAAATTTTTACCATCTCAAGTTGATCCCAGGAGTCGTAGTCTCAGAAATGAGTACCATGAATGTATATAGCTGACCCTCCCCTGTCAACACAGAATATGCCACAGCAGCTATGGAGAGAAAATGATGAATGACCTGAAATAATAAGATTTTAGCCTGGTTTACATCATCAGCTTACATCAGTCATAACCAACAGGGAAGAGATAAACTTAGGGCAAGATTATAATAAAATAAATAAATACTTACATACTCCATTCTACCTAAAGATGGGTAAAACCAAATGATCATCCCAATGTCCGCAAGAAAGTAACCAACAGATACCTGTGAAAAGGTGGCATCTAAGATTAATTTTATTAGAAGCCAGCTACAGGTGATAAAACATAAACCTAAACCTAAAGAAATGTCAGCACAAATTGAGAAATTTCAGCAAGATTTCTCCCTTTTGTACGTGTAACAGTTCCTCAATTAGTTTCCAACCCTATTGAAAACTGCCTTACAGACAGACTGCATATATTCATCTGTGGTAGGAAATAATCTCAACATATTGCAAATTTATCTAGTAATTCATTTGATAGTTTTTCATTCTTAGTTATAAAAAAGCTACAACAAAATAAGAATACATGTATATTACAAATTTCTCATATAAGCCCTTATCCTTATTTCAATCTCTCAAATAAGGGCTCAATTGAGTACAATACCCATTAAGGGATAATTAGAGAATGTACATGTGTTAGATTTAGTATTTTATTGCTTACTCCAATCAAATACTAAAAAAAAAGCCGTTCTAGGTATTGCACCCTATTACAGATACATGGATGGCAGTACCTAGCATCAAGTACCAGCAAATGTGGTGTGGTTTAAGAAGAAAAAATCGCAGCAATCAAAAGAAATAAGACTGAAAAACGAGTTGGGAAGATGGAATTCGAGAAAACTTAAGGTCATAGAAATCCTCTAGTTTTACTTTGTTACATCAAAGAAAATAATAATAAGTTATGGCTGCAAATATTGTTACAGCTTATTTCTAGGGTTTAAAGAAGGTTTTAATCCTAGCCCTAGATTTAAAAGCTAATGAAAACTTATAATTCTAGCCATTCATAATATCTCTAATACTTAATAAAAATGAAACAATAAAATAAATAAAGCTCCTGCATCAAAATGTCAAAAGAATAAGAAGTATCAGCTAAGTTTACCACTCATTTTAGTTGCTAGCCAAGAGAATCAAGATGCTAGGCCAAAGGCTTAATTAGAAGATATGCTTGCCTAGGTCTGGCTGTTCCAACTAGACATTCTCCCAGCATAATGACCTCGACTAAGTTGCTCCTTAACAGTAATTTCCAGGGGTGGTTCAAGAAACATCATACTGATCAGCATCAATGGAGACAGGTCTGCGTTGAACTAGCAGCAGCAGATGTCCATTGTCTGATGGTGATAATGAATATAAGGTTATGATGATGTGATTTACTTATTCAGTGAGCAAACCATGTACCACATGGTTATAAAGATAAGAGACAGATACAGGTTGTGATTCTACATTGGGGAGATGGAGTTTTCAATTGCAAATTGGCACCCATGGAAAAATATGTTAGTTGCAAACTAGATTGTAACCAAGTAATATTTTCCTACTAAGTATTCTTTGCACCAGAGGCGAACGGCTCAAGCCTAAGAAATGCCTACAAAGATTGAATTTGGATTACTATAAAGTTTCAAGGCCAAAGTTTGACCTTGAGTTTGAGAAGTGCACATCAGTTCAACATCCAAGTTTCAAGGCCAAATTTTGGGAAAAGGACATATTTAGATTTTATGGGGTTTAGGAAATCAAATGGCAGAGAGCCTTAACCATATTAAAACAAAAGAATTGTACTAGGGCATGCACAAACATATTATAAGCCCTTCATTGATATCAGCAGTAAACGGGAGGTCTATTTCACTAGAATAAATCAACAGCAATCTACAGTTACGTGTCCTATCAAAGGCAATACCGCTCAAATCATTCGTATTCATGAAATAAATTCATATAAAAGTATTTTATTCATTGAAGAAAACTACTAAATTGCTTCTTCAAAATGAAATACTTTTCGCATGCTGAAAAAGCCTTTTGTTGGAGGGATTTGTGTACAGAAGTGAATGACTAAAATAATTTTCATTAAGATGTTATAAAAGGCAAGGCTAGATATAAATTATTAAATATCATCTACATTCCTAAGTTTTCATTGAAGACAAAGAAAAAGGTACACTCACCCCCAATGAAAATGTAGACAGTCCAGAACTGCGAAACATAATCAAGCCAGCGTATCGGTGATCAGAAAAGAGATTTGACCAAAACACGAAGTATAAGGACATGATTGTTATGAAAATGGCATGTACAGTTGATATGGATCTGCACAAAACTTCCAGAAATTAATCTGTATTGATAATAAAAATAATAATCATATATTCAAGCAAAGTAGAAATATCAGTCACCGGTTGTTCCACTCATTGTGTTGGACTTTTGATAACATAAGATAGCTCTTAAAGTAAACACTGCTAAACAACTGCGTAAGATCATAGACCTGAAAAAGGGTAATGATCAGAAATAGTTAGAAAAAAAAGAAGGGAAAGCTAGTAGAAGAGATATTTAAGAAGAAAACAAAAAGGCATAAACATAGAGATGATAGAAACAATAGTATAAAACAAGAAGAAACAAACGCTCGACGTAAGGGAATCATCATTAAGAAATTTTTAATAAAAGAATGCTACATGAGGCTGCAAATTGTGATACTAGATGAACTGAGTATTTTCAGAACTGAATAATGAATCAGAAAATTGAGCAGGAAACATACCATCTTGCAAGCACAAATGCCACAAATAACTGATGTGTATGGGATGAAAGAATCTGCCAGTAAATATTCCTTTAGCAGCAGCTCAGCCTGATTCTGGTATGATTGTATCTCCATAGTTGCTTCTTCAGAAACCAGTATCGTATCACATTCCTCCACCAATCAATCTAAGAAGATGAATTTTCCATTGATTCCTCGATTTTGTATTCTTCTCGTACTTCACGATGAATAGACATGAGAAAAAAAAAGATACAAGAAAAATGAAAAGTTCTATGCCCCGACTATAGTTGCTGCAATTTTGAAATATAATGCACCACTTTGGGGAACGAACCACTTTCCTCGTCATACATGAGAAGCAATTAGGAAATCATATTATTAAGGACTTCTCTTGTTTTTTGTACCAATCATCTAAAAGGCGAAGAGATAGGGGTAAGTGTCAATTGCTATGAGACAAAAATGTAGTTAAACCAGAAGTGGCAGTTCTGGGCCTAATTCATGATGGCCGTATCCTCAAAGTTGTACTACTCATAAAACCGGATTAGCATATAAGATTAGGGCTCCATTGCAGTAAAAGCATATATAATGCATTTCAATCTCGAACATATGCCAAAAAGTTAGCAACAATTGAGTCCTCCGAACTCATAAAGCTAGCCTGAAGAGGTGGTATCTGACAGATTTGGGGTTCTAAACCCCGAACCCTCAACTCCTTTCCCTACTCCTAAGTTGTGATTTCCTTTGTACCAAAAGTAAAAAAAATATATGCCAACACGCCAACACATCAAATTAAGAATGGTCCCTCCACATCAAAAGCGTTTTGGTTTGTATTAACCGATAACTGAATTGCCAATAAACAGCTTATCTTATGGTAAATAAGTTTAAGCTAAATAACAAACAAGGCAACATAAAAAATTCAGGATTTCTTACCCTTTGAGAAGAAAAGGCGCGAAGAAACACCTCTGATTCTATTTCATTTCTGGGAAAAATGTGCAATAATATAATACAATGCAGATGAACAAGAAAATGTTAATTACTCCACTAGGCATCTTTAAACCAGTTTTTAATTTATTCTCCTTAACCTAATGCATTCATTTAAGCTATTAAAAGAAACAACGAAATTAACAAATAAAATACCACTGACTTATCTGCAAAAAGAGAAAAGGAAAATGCAGTCTACATAAACATAAATTCAGAAAAATCAAGAACAAAATACTACATCAAACTAACAACTAAACATAATATGGAAACAACAAAAAACAAATTTGAATAATATAATAAACAATTACAAAATAATTACAAAATAAAAGAAAAAGACAGTATAAAAATTATCCGAAAAGAGAAGAAAATGAAAAGGAGAATAGGGTTACCGGAACCGGAGAAAATGAAATTATCGGAAAGAACCAATTAGAGCCTCAAAAGTTAAAAAAAAACGAATTTTTAATAAGAAAAATAATGAGCTTTAAGATTTTGTCAAAGCTAATGTTAATGTAATTAATTGAAAAGAAGACAGTTAATGTAATTAATAAATCTAAAATTAATAATGTTATATTCGAAATATTACTATGTGACATTGATTAAAAAATTCTTATTTATTTAGAATGGATAATTAAATTTGAGTACATAATAATTATATAAATTAACATATTTAATCATTTAATTATGTATAATTAAAACATTTCAATTACCGAAAATCATAAATATTGAAAAATATTTAAGACATAAACATCAATTTTAGATAATTTACTGCAAGCATTAAAAAAGTAGTATTTAAATAATGATCAATAAATATTTTTAATAGTTTTCATTTTCAACACAAAGTTATATAATTACGATGAGAGATGGAAGGTCTCACTGCGCCTGAACCATTAAAACCCGTAAAGAAAGTCAATCATTTTTTAAAGAAATAAAAAGAAAAATGGATTCTGATGAGAGATGGAAGCCTCCGATTTTGATGTTTCCGACGGTATTTTACAGATTCCACTGGTGGAGATGTTACTCATGACTATGTAAGCATCATATTATGCAGGTGACTTGAACCAACATTTGACGACAGCGAGAGAGGAGTTTTTAATTCATGACGGTCGAAAGAATTTTTGTAGATCTATGTCGATCTACGATGAATATAGAAAATAGATAACATATTCAACTTTAACAAATCAAAAAGGTTGAGTCTTGGTAGTTTGGCCCTTGGACGATGATCAAGGGTGATAGTTGATACGTGATCACTCTTTAAAAGAGATATTATTTAGACATTTTTACTTAAGTTTTTGTTTGCATTTAAACACTTTAGGATTATATTTCAAACATTTTTAGTCTAAATTGTATCATATGTATCATGATTGTAACAACCCATAAATTGAAAAAAAAATATTTAATTGAAATTTGAATATTTAATTAAGTAATTTGATGAAATTAAGGACTAAATTGAAAGTTTTTAAAACTTGTAACTTGTTTTAGAGATGAAAGAAATTCAGAGACTAAGCCCTGAATTTACACCTGAAGTGTCGGCATTCAAGCATTATAAGCGTGAATTCATTCTGAATTTCACCAAATTTCTTCCCTCAAAGCCCGAACTTCCAACCACGATCCCGACGTCGTCCGACCTCCGATCGTTGTTTTGAAAACACCATCGTGTTCATCATCGAGCGAGGAACAAATCTCTTAAATTAATTGAAGTGAAACGCTGCCAAACGTCGTGAATTTCAAGTCAAAGTCTCGACCTTTTTTAGCTCAATCGCCGAGAAAATCTTAAATTTATCGTCGATCGTTGCTCCGTTTACGACACCTCCCGCACCATCGTGTTTCTTGTGCCGTTCCGAGTCTGCCGGTGTCATTCTTGGTATACTTCAACTGCGGCGCGTGAGGAGGTGAGACGGTCAAAGTTTCCGATTTGTTGAAATCGAGCTCTCCGTCGTTCAAAAATTTGAACCGAGCTTTGTAAGTATCTCGAAATCGCTCAAAATAATTTTTAGGAATTTTTCCGTGAATTATACGCTGCCGGAAATAGTCCCATGCGCCCCCACGTGTCGCCACTGCGCGTGGGGAAGGTTCGGCTGCTGCTTACAACTAGTTTGACCGGACTGAACCGAGTTGACCGATTCAAACCGGTTCGACCCGACCCGTTGACCCGACCCGACCGTTGACCGTTAACCGGTTGGTATTTTGATAATTATTTTGAAAATGATTACATTCTAGTAATTATTTTGAAAATAGTGCTATTTTTGTAAAAAAAAAATTAAAAAAGGTAATTTTGTAATTTTTAAAAAAATGATATTTTAGTAATTATTTTAAAAATGGTGCTATTTTGGTAATTCTTTTTAAAAATGGTGCTATTTTTGTAATTTTTTTTAAAAAAAGGTGTTAATTTCGTAAAATGATTGATATATGTTGACCAGCCATTAAACGACCTTTAATTTTTTCTGTATATTTAGATCCTGACATTTTTTTACGTCCCGAATCCGTTTTTGGGGTCCGTTTCACCAAATTCGAACCCAAAATCTTCAAATCGTCAGTCAAACCTGTTGACTTTGATTTTGACAGAATTCAATTTCGGAAGGTCATACTTTATGTTTTTCGACGTCCTGAATCTGATTCCGAAGTCCGTTTTGCCAAATTCTGACCCGAAATCCCCGAATCGAGCATGTGAAACCAAAAGGCTTAGTGTTTTTAATATTTTGATTATTTATTTGAGTTTTGGTTAAAGAATTGATTCAATAAAATATTTTATGAAGGTACTTGTGTTTCACCTGAGCGTGGATCAGTTAATTCTGGAGTTGTTCGTTCGTCAGATCAGCCCGAACCCCGTAATACGAGAATTACCCGTAGGTTTCCGTATATTATTTAAATAATATTTATATTATTTATATTAGGATTCCAATATGGATTTTTCCTATTCATAGGATCTAGCGCTGCAGCAAAGAGTGATCGACAGACCCAGTAGTAGGCTTCCCTATCTGATTTCTCATACTGTTACAGGTGTGTTTCCTGACAGTATTACATTACTGTTTTAAAAATGATTCATCTAAATACCAAGTATTTAATATCTGATTTACTGTATATTCCGATTTAATTTCTGGATTAAGGTATTTCATACCGATTTCTGAGATCTAATTATCTGACATCTGAATTACCATATATTACTGATTTGAATTCTGATTTTCGTGTTTCTGCATATGGTTTCCAAGTATGAAACATTTTTATGTTTTAAGTGATTAATCATTGTTTTCACTTGAATACATTCATGTTTAATTTTGTCATTGGGGGTATTGTTGAAGGAAGATTATCTGCAGACTCCTCGACTTTGTGCTCAGGGTCTAAATGGCATGTGTGGTTGGGTGTATGGTTCTGGTAAACCTACACATTTATGATGTGAACGGATGGGGGTAGTGTTCATGTTTAAAAAATAAAAACATGTTGCATAAACCGATTTTATTGAAAGATTTTATCTGTATATTTTTTTTTATATTGTATGGAGCACATTGGGCTTTTTAGCTCATTCTATAGTTTTATCCTTTTTCAGATAACAGTAGACAGTAAGCAGCAGATTTGGCATCAGGGGAGATCAACTACTTTATTTTGTATGAACGTATATCTCTATATATTTTCAGTTATGTTTGGTGACATGTATTTTTCTATCGTTTTGGATATATTTGTATTATCGATATTTTGTTTAGTATTACCTGTAATGTTTTATCAGTTGTTTTAAAAATAATCTCTGAATGTGATATGTGACCACTTAGGTTTGAGTCTAACTTACAGACCGGGTCTGGGGGGTTACATTTGGTGGTATCAGAGCCTTATTCGCCAACATGAGTTTATTTGATGATAACAATCTGTTAGCAGAGTTGCAGGTTAAACCCACTTTGGCTGAGGAGATTAAGGCCAAACAACTTCTGGATAGTTCATTTCTTCCCATTATTGAACAAGTTAAGTAGGGATCGAGTTCAGAATATACTGTGGATCAAGATGGTATTTTGTGTTTTCATGGTCGTTACTGCGTCCCTAAAGATGATGAGTTGAGACGGATTATTCTTCAGGAGGCTAATAGTAATCCTTATGCTATGCATCCTGGCGGGGATAAAATGTACAATAATCTTAAGGAGCGCTACTTTTGGACTGGTATGAAAAAGAATATTTCAGATTTTGTGGCTAGGTGTTTGACTTGTCAGCAGGTTAAAGCGGAACACCAACATCCATCTGGATTGTTACAATCAATTAAGATTCCTGAATGGAAATGAGAGCGCATCACGATGGACTTTGTTACTGGTCTTCCTCTTACTCCTTACAAAAAGGATTCTATTTGGGTGATTGTTGATCGACTCACCAAGACAGCACACTTTATTCCTATCTGGATTAATTATTCTCTGGACAAACTGGTTAAGTTGTACATTTCTGAGATTGTTAGACTTCATGGTGTACCGTTGTCTATCATATCTGACCGAGATCCGAGGTTTACTTCCAGGTTCTGGAAAGCTTTGCACGAGGCTCTGGGTACTCGTTTGAATTTCAGTACAACTTTTCATCCTCAGACTAATTGACAGTCTGAACGAGTTATTCAAGTGTTGGAGGATATGTTACGGGGTTGTGTGATTGATTTCAGTGGTAGTTGGGAAGATTTCTTGTCGTTAGTTGAGTTTGCTTACAATAATAGTTATCAGGCGAGTATTCGCATGGCACCGTACGAGGCTCTGTATGGACGTAGATGTCGTACTCCTATATGTTGGACTGAGTTGCATGACAGGAAAACTTTGGGTCCAGACTTGGTTCGAGAGACTGAAGATATTGTTAGATTGATCCGTGATCGCTTAAAAGAGGCATTTGATAGATAGAAATCATACGCAAATAAGCGACGTAAGGATATCGAGTTTGAGGTTGGAAATCAAGTTTTTCTCAAGGTATCCCAATGGAAGAAGGTATTGAGATTTAAACGTAAGGGTAAACTGAGTCTGCGATTTATTGGTCGTATCGTATTTTGAAGAAAGTTGGACATGTTGCTTATCAGCTTGAGTTGCCTCCCCAGCTCAGTCGTATTCATGATGTTTTTCATGTGTCTATGTTGAGGCGATACTATCCAGATCCAGATCACATCATTCAGGTTGATGAGGTAGAGTTGAGACCTGATTTGTCATATGAGGAAGAGCCTGTTCAGGTTTTAGAGAGGGATGAGCGAGTTCTTCGGAATAGGCGTATTCCAATGGTCAAAGTTCAGTGGAGTAATCGTAGCCTCTCAGAAGCTACTTGGGAGACACTGGAGTCAATGGATGCTCAATTTCCTCATCTATTTTTATAAGGTAAATTTCGAGGACGAAATTTCTTGTAGAGGGGGAGAATTGTAACAACCCATAAATTGGAAAAAAATATATTTAATTGAAATTTGAGGATTTAATTAAGTAATTTGATGAAATTAGGGACTAAATTAAAAGTTTTTAAAACTTGTAGTTTGTTTTAGAGATGAAGGAAATTCAGGGACTAAGTCCTGAAGTTGAAATGATAGTGAGTTGGTAAATATTGACCTACTATAACCACTTTTTGTTGTGTACTCATTCATATACTCCGATGTTATATGTAGTGGGAGTCAGAAATTGTCCTATGTTCGGATCATTGCTACCAACAGTGATGAGTCAGTAGAAAGTTACTGCCATCTTTCTGAAATACTATTACAGAAAACATTGAAAATTAGAAAAACGTCTCATTGGATATGAAATTGACTCTCTTTTAAAGGTTTGAAAGATTATATAAAGGAAGCAATAACAAAAGGGTATGACGTCTAGGGTTTTATTTTACGGTAAACTACTTCAAATACCATTAAACTTTAGGTGTTGACTTATTTATACCATCAACGTTTTAATTTTATCAATTTTAGCATTAACATTTATTTTTAGGTGCAGTTATACCACTCCGCCGTTAATGATTTAAAGGCATGATGACATGGTAACTTCGTGCCGTGATGTTGTTGATGCGAATACTTCACCAAAACCACGTCGTTTTACTTAAAAAATATTTAGTTAAAATTTAAGTTTAGCAAGATTTAAACTTTAAACCTTCGAAAACAAAGGCTAAAGCTTAACCACTCAATTAACTTAAGATTTTGGTTATATACTTACAAATATAGCATACATATCATACAGTTCAGATTCTAAAATTTTGGTTAATATTTTTATACATAATTTATAATAAAAATAATATTTTTTTAGAAAACAACTATAATTTTCAAAATTCTCAAATTCCCTCAAACCCAAAACCCTAAAATTTAAACCCCCTAATTTCACCCATTACCACCGTCGAATCAACGCCCACCGCACACCACTTTCGTCGCCAAACCCTTACCACCAATTACCCCACTCTCCCATCCCTGGAAATCAAACCATGAACGACGAATATAAAATGTTCTGATCAAACCATGAACGACGATCGATCGATAGGAAAATGGTGAATGATGTACATGGCGAGAGGATGAGACTTCAGTGTGGTGGCAATTATGTGCTATCGTCGACTATGGTTGATGAATTTAGGAATTATAATTTAGGGTTTCTAGTTTTTTTTGGATTTTTGGGAATTTAGGATTTTTAGGGAATTTTGGGTTTTTCAAAAATTCATATTACTTATATCAACACAACGACATCTTTTTAGGCTTTTTTAGGCATCCACATAAGCAATGTCACGACATGTGGCTACCATGTCATCGTGCTGTTAAATCTTTATCGGCGGAGTGATATAATTGCACTTAAAAGTAAATGTTAGTACTAAAATTAGCAAAATTAAAATGTTGGTTGTATAAACGAGTTAGCACTTAAAGTTTGATGGCATTTGACGTAGTTTACCCTTTACTTTATTATAGTTCTTCTTCAATTTTTTTTCTTTATTAAGAGGTCATGATAGCCTAAATAAATCTGGGAAGAACAATTGGATGTAGAAGCAACGCTGCGCCTGAGAGGGTGATGGATGATGATCAATAAGATCTTCAAAAAGGTAATGATGAGACGAATCCGAGAGAGGATTTTATTTTGGCATAATGTAAACCCTATTTGCCAATGATCATTTTCCCTATTATATTTTATTGAGCATTTTGACCACAACATTTAATGCAAAAAGGTCTCTAACATTTGACATAATAATCACTTTATCTCTTATTCTTTTTTACTAGGGTATTTTAGCCCTCAACATTTCATTTTAGTTTAAAAAATATTCATATTTTGTAGTGTTAATCGTGTGTTAACTAATGATTTTATCTAAAGATGAAGTTTTTTGTAGTGGCATTGTAGGAGCATCAAAGACTGTGAGAGCAACGTTTTAGTTTAGAGAGATCTAGTTGACTAATTATCTTAGAATACTTAGTTAATTTATATAATCGCATATAGAGATATAACATATACGTGGGTTTCTTGGTGAGAACGAACAAGAGAGGTAGAATCCACTAAATTAATATTATGAGCATCAATCTTATTGTTGTGACATCATTGATTGCATGATTAAGTTTAACATTACCACACCTAAGTCAATTCAATACTTCCATTGTCATTGTTGTGATTCACTTTATTCTTATATCTACTTTAGTTTTATGTTTTTGTTGATCTGTTCATAACCGTCTTCAAACAATTTATGTTATTTAGTTTAGTTAATACTATGATAATTCTACGTGGGATACGATAACTTGATGCATTAATTTGCATCTACTTTATTACTTAATACGATATTGTATACCTACCCTCGTTTTCGTTATATATTGCACGCATCAGTGCGACTAGCGATGGTTGATGACTGGTCGTCGAGACAGTCTGCTCTGGCCTTCAGAGAGTGCGTGCGTCGAAGGCTTTTGCGAGGAAGATGGGAAAATGAATTTCAAAACAAGGAAATGGTTTATGTTCAAGACGCAAAACGCATCGTTTGGGAGGGAGAGATTTGACTCTAAACGATGGCGTTTTGGCTGACCAAACACCTGACCCACGCACAACCTGAATCAACCACCAAAAGATCAGCGTGTTCCTAGTTTTAAAACTTATTTCAATTTAGTCCTAAATGCATTAAGTAGATGTTATTTAAATACAATTTTAGTCCCGATAGTTTCTATTCGATCGGTTTGGTTACAATAATTTATTAACTGAATATTAAAAAATTATTGTATTATTGATAGAAATTCTTTGGGGTCTTGATCCTATTGTGGATCCCCACGTTCATGAGAGAAAGGCTAGAAACTTAGAATTGAAGTCATTAAGTTCGAATTCAAAAAATTAGAGTAAGTACCCCTCGAACTCCAAAGTGTTCCATGATTTTTATAAAATTTGATGCTTTACAAGTTTTGCATGTATGCATGATCTGTTATTTGAGTAGGGAGCACATAAAATACCTATGAAAGCGATGGCGATAACGATAGGTGGGTAATTTTTCAACAATAACAACGACGATGGTAATCGGCGATGATTGATAATTAGGGTTTAGAATTGAAGATTTTAGAGTTTTGAAGGTTTTTTTTGGATGATTTTAGGTAAATTTGAGATTTATTTCATGTATATATATATATATAGTTTTTTAAATAAATTTTTTAAAAATATATATAAACACGATATGTGTTACATAACACTAATTAACTACCGTTATGGCATAGATACTTAAAAGAAAAACGTCGAAAACATTATACACTTAATTTAAGTAAAAAATACTTTAAACACCTAAAATTAACTAAAGATATAATTTATGTGGTTATTTTAAGCCATAAATTAAAACATATATACTACACAGCGCCGTTAAAAACTAGTGAAAAACAAGGGTGTCACTTTCTTCTAGGTTTGTAAGGAGCAGAAGAACCCAGTGTTGCAGCAGATAAAGAAGAAGAAGATGAAGAAGACGAAGGTGAGGAAATAGGCCTGTGATCATGTTTGTTTCGATCGGCTTTGTCTTTGTAAAATGCCTCTAACAGCTCTTGTTTAAGTTCAGTGAATCGCTTCCTTTTCATTCTTTGCTCTTCCAAGGTACCTTGTTCAAACAAACAAGGTATATCATCCACCAAGAACTTGTCCAGCACTTGCGCACAATGTGGGAAGTATTTCCTCCCTGTTTCCACTGCCATTTACACCTTTTAATTAATGCTAAAAACAGCTGAATTACGAAATAGGTGATGATTGATACCTGTTTTAAACAGGGTGAGCAACCTCAAATGAAGCCTTGTGGTGTGCGCTGTTGCTGATTCGTTCAAAACAACTTTGCATGTGTTTGTATCTGCGTCTGCAATTTCCATGGCTACCTTGGCTTCCGCAGGATATAACAACCGTGCAAACGAGACTGACAACAAAAACAAAACTTATTAACATCACCATGGACGGTGCAGGATATAGTTCTACACAATACTTACCTCGATTCTCATAGTAGTCCAATTTCATGTGTAAATCATAAGTGATCTCTTGTGATGGAACTCCGACATTCTCCGATTCAGAACTCCGCATCTTTGTCTCAAGGACATCGATGAATAATCGATCTTTGTTAGATGGCTCCCCTTGCTTTTTGTTCTCGTTATAATCCTTGGCCCGAGTTAGTCTCCTGCAGATATCAATGGCAGTTCGGCCATCAGGCGTAGTTTCCGCCACACAGGCTCCCTTATTCAACAACGCCACCAGCACCAACGGTTCCTTGCGTCTTGCAGCGACATGGAGAGGCGTGAATCCTCGACGGTTCTTGAGATCGACATCAGCCAACCCGAGACTAAGAACCTCGTTAACGATCTTGGGATCACAGTAGGCAGCGGCATAGTGGAGTGCATAAGCTTCATCTAATGTGACATTTGATTCACTCAGAAGGAGTTTCAACAGCTCAACATCATCAGAATCCAGTGCCTTGTGGATTCTCTGGATTTGTTTTTCAAGGACCAAGTCGGACTCCGTTGTGACTAGCTCGAGTTCAAGACGGAGTGACCGAATCTTGCCGTAAACTTCCGGAGGTAGTTCTTTCTCTAGACATACGTTATTGAGATCGGATTTCGCCACTCTTTCGATGCAGGTGGATAAAAGCTGATTCAAATGATAGTGAAACGCAGCTACGAGAATTGGGATCACATCTTCCATAAGTGACTCCTCAACAATGTTCAAAAGATGGCGCTTCATTAATACAAAGGAAGCTGAGTCAAAAACTTGTCCATAAACCGAGTTTTAGATACACAAATGGTATGATTATAGCCAAATCAGACAGAGCAATATATCAAAATGATCATGTGTTTTCCTTTGTTTGGGCTACGAGTTTTTTTTGACCGCTAATCCTTTGTCCTCCCTCAGTTCTTCTTGTGATGATACGATGAGATTATGGTTAAGAAGGATTGATTTTTCATTCATCCACTTTAAATACTCTAGAGGTTTTTCAGATTTGTTTTTGCTCATCATGTCATCACTAATCATTCAAATTTTGTGTATGATTATCCTTGATGTACTAATTGATCTAAATAATAACTTGGCTAATGTACCTGTATATATATATATATAAAGCATAAGCTTGATTGGGTTTGGGAAATTGACCTGAACAAGCAAAACCAGCTCTTTGATTTGGAAAGTTGCAGAAGCAAACAACAATTCCAAAGCATAATTAATAAGAGGGCCACAAGCAACATGACAACAATTCGAGTCCACACATGTCGAAACGTCCCTCGGTGATGCCTTAATCCTCCCCGTATACAAATACTGCAACATCACTTTCACTGCTTCATGTCCCACCAGACCATACCGCACCATCTCAGACATCTCATACCTCGGTTTCCGACCACCTTCGAGCTGTTGCTGGAAAAGTTTATGGAAATAGGGACTTCGAGCGGCTAATATGCACCTATTAACACCCACGACAACATTGCCCTCCACAACAATCTCAGCATCGTTGTAGCTTTCGTATTCCTGGTTAACCAGTAGGTTTTCAAGGCAGGCACTGAGCTTGCTTAGGCTCAAATTTTCAGGGTCTGGACCAATTTCCATTACGTGGTTTTCTGACCCGAAACCATTTGATAGGTGAGAAGATGAAGTAAACGTTGGAGAAGATGAAATCTCGTTTCCATATTCCATGTTTTTGTCAATCTCCAAGATCATGAGAAATAAAGAAGGTAGATTATGTGAAACTATATGACGGGGGAAAAGCTAGAAAGAAAACAGGGTGTGGCTTAAAATAATAAAGAAGGTAGACGATGTGCATTAATGTGTCATATTAATAGTGTCCTTCAATGTGAAACGTTCACTTTAGACGGATCCATTCTTATGGCTGCTTTTGAATTTACGAATCTAACAGTAAAATGTTGTATTATCACATCTTGTTCCTCATTAAGACAGAGAATAAAGAAAGGAGGAGATAAAAAAGGAATTAAAATAATAATAATAATATAAAAATAGGAATAAAATCGGCAGAAGATAAAGTTTTGGAGAAAGAAGAAAAGAATATATGGTGGAATTTATCTAGAAGCACATCAGTTTGTGCATCATATTATTTTTAAAATAAATTACAAGGATAGTTGGATTTATATGATATTATTTTATTAATAATCAAGTACACATAGATCATTACACGTATTATTAAGAACTAGGACCAAATGGATAAAATATTAAAAATTAAATTTAACATCGTATATTTAAAATATAAATTTTAGATTATGTTTAGGTTTTGTAGACATTTGTATAAATTTATTTGAGTCCATTCATATTACTTTTCTTTAAAGGAAAGTAGACCTAGTTAAAAAATTTCTTTACATTTGAATACAAGACAAACGCTCAAATCCAAACATTAGAAGGAAAATGGTGCCCGTAAAATTGTTGATCGTGTTAAATTTCTTCTTTCAGTTTCATTAATTTTTTTTTATTTTTTTTCCTTTTTGATTTATAATAAAGTAATTTCTTATGATTTACAATCAATTATTTGTCCTCATCTTCCGTAATTCGTAATATGATTGCTAACAAATAAAAAATAAATTATATATATATATATATAAAGAGAATAAAATGTAAAATGAAAATTTTCAAATAAATTTGGAAGTGCCCATAAGTGCTCTTCCATATGCCACTGGAAGAGATGCAAATTTCTTTAGTTTCCCTACATAAGCTCTTTTGCTGAAATTGTTATAATCATTTTCTTCAATGGCGTCCAATATCTGTCGATACAGCAACAGCGATGCCCACACTGGCCATCTGCTTGCCGAATTTAGCTCGGAAACACCTTTTTCCGCCTCACTGAAGAACATCCTAGCTCGTTTTATCTGATCTTTCATGAAGTTCCTCCACCTGTCCGTTACTTGTCCACGGAATATGTCGTCGTCTGATAGTCCAAACCGTGCCAGTTCGTCTTGTGGTAGATATACTCTTCCTCTCCTAGCACTAGGGAGATGCACAAACTATGAGAAAACACTGCAAGGGGTTCATCAGAAAATGAAAACTACAAAATTTCAGTACCATTGGACTTACTCTTCACCAACATCTCTGAGTATATTAGTAAGCTGATTTGCAATTCCGAGGGCTAACGCAGCGTTATAGACACTCTCGACCGATGCCTTCAATTCGGGAGCGATTCCCATTACCGGAACACTCATTAGTCCGACCGTCCCGGCAACATAGTAGCAGTAAAGGTAGAGCTCATCGAAGTTCATATATCTGGACTTCCTTAAATCTAATCTCATTCCTTCTATCATGTCCTTGAAGGGCTGAAAAAAAAGTCCACGGTTGATTCTCAAAGGTCATGCAAAATATCAAGGTCTTTAACTGTGTAAAACTGCAGCAAACCTGTATATCTACAGGGTACTTAGAGACAGTATCGGCTAAAGCAGCATCGAGCATATCGTACGGTCGACCTTTGAAAAGATCATCTAATCTTTTCTCCCATCGGTCAAGAGCCCTAGGTGTAATGTGTGAAGCATTAGGTCCATCCACAAGCTCATCAGTTCTCCTACACCAAACTGCATACCAGGAGGTGGGGGGGGGGAATTAAATATCCAATTCTCAAACACCCAGAAATGATGCTAAAACTCGGACTTTATTATCGAATATGAATATGTCTCCAACATGTGTTTTTCATGTACTTTGAGGTTCATATACTTGTGCAAATGTTTGAAGTGCCGGACAAAAATACTTCAAGAAAAACGAAGAGACAAAGCAATATAGGACACAATGAAACTTTCATCAATGATGTTCATTTGCAAATAAGCCTACAGCCAGAGAATAGGAGAAGTTCCGAAGCTAGGACTCAGACCCTAGGCTTGCTTGATGCCACCTCTTGAGGGTGGCTGCATGTATCAACCAGATCAAACCGCAGGTTCGATTGCTATTACTACACTATCATCTTAAATGTTAAGCTTGAAAGAAAGCAATGCAGGTGATTCGAACCAATGAGTTGGCCAACCGATAAAAACACCGAAAATCAGTGAGTTCAATGAACAAACATTTCAAGATTTAGTCAAAGTAACCAACCACCATACATACCGTAAATCGCCCACACGGCTCTCCGACGCTCCGATGTCATAAGTAATGTACCTGGAAAGAGACAACAATCAGTTTATGAGGACGGAACTCGAGGTAAGATAAAAGGTTGCAAATGCTAAGATTCGATGCAATTTCCATGTTCATGGCCTCAAGCTGAGATACCAGAACAGACTACAAATGCGACCACTCGATGCAACTTCCATGTTCATGGCTTCAACATAAGATACAATAACAGACAACAGATGCTACGATTCGATGCAATTTCCATGTTCATGGCCTTGACTTGATGTGAAAGAAAAATTTACAAATGCTGTGATTCGAATACTAAACTTAAACGGAAGTATGGCTGCATGAAACATTGATCTCAGATTCATTTTCATGTTTTTATTATCCTAAAAGTTGCAGTTTAAAAATCCTTTTAAGTAGTTTGATCAAACAAAGAATAACCTTATTTTAAGTAGTAATTATCACATTAAAACTCTGTAACTTTCTTGCTTCATATTAAAATTCTTTTTAAGGTGTTACAGAGGTTGGTAAATATGAAATTTCATTTGAGTTTTCTCACCCTTTTCTCGGTAACCAAACAGCCTAATTCCAAGGGGTAAAACCAAGGTTTATATATGTTTTTTTTTTGGGGGGGGGACGAAAAAAAAACAAAAAAAAGGCAGGGAATCACTAAACAAATAAAACAAGGGTCAAAATCGACCCCATCATGTGTATGAACCTATAAAAAACATATAATAATAACATTGTAATCAACTTGAGAATCAAAAACAAGTAAATCCCAAGTTGAAACTGACAAGAAAAAGGGCAAAGCAGAAGCACCCAAATAGAAGGTCTTGGCATATTCAGCACAAACTTCACCACAACGATCGTAAGCTTCATTCAAGAGATTCCAATCAGCGAACCCATCGGTTTTTCCATTTCTTTTCTCCAAATCCAAAGCCCTTGGTTGTTTAACCAAAGCAGCCTGTTTTAAGACCACATCGTAAACTTTCTCTTCTGAAGATCTGGCTGGGTTGGCCACTGCACTTGAAATAGCTGAAACCCCTTTGAAACACCTCTTCGGCTTCTTCCCACTCGTGGGTATCAAGCTGAACAAAGCAGTGGCATTCCCTTTGGGACAAACCACCCAAAGAAGAACACCAGACATGGTTAGAAATAAGAAGAAGAAGAAGAAGAAACCACGTGTCTCCTTTGATTTTGAACCAGTTAATGGTGTATATGAAACAGTGTATGGGTAAAGATAAGTGAAAGACGATGTGGGTGCAATTGAAACCAGCGAATGACAATGAATTTTGAAGATGGAATGGGCACCACTTTTGTTTTTATTTTTATCTTAATGCTTACGAAGACTCGAAATATCCCCCAAAGGGCTGAAGCTAAGCTTATTTTCTGGAATATGCCATCATCATTTCTCTCACCTCTTTCTGTGGACACCATTCCTTCGTGTACATTTGCCGATCTCAAGCCACTTCTTCGAAATGGCAACTGGCCATTTCCGGTTTTTTTTAATTATTTTTCATCTTCTTTATATAATTTATAACAGGGTATATGAATATATGACACTAATTTATTAAGTTTACACATTATTAAAAAGTTATAAAATAATCTTTTATTTATAAATAATTATTTTATTAAATTTTTCGATTATTAAAAATAAAAAAAATTGTCATCTAATTATTTATTATGTTATAAACTCATTTTTTTGGTTAAAAAATTAAAGGTTGTCTGAACTTGATATTAATATATTGATTAAGATATGATTTTCATTTGAGAATATGATAATATATTTTTATCATATCTTAGTTAGCATGTTAACGTTCAGCTCAAATTCTTGTTAACTTTTTAACAAAAAATGATGAGTTTGAAACATAATGAATAGTCGGGTGACCATTTTATAACTTTTAATAATCGATGTACTCTACAAAACAACTCCCTATAATAAGAAGATCATTTTATATAAAATGACTCAACAAAATAATATTTTATAATCAATGAACTATTTGTATACTTTATCATTTATAATATTTAGGAATCATATCCATCTTCCCAACGATTTTCTTTTAAAAAATATTAAAACATGAAATATCTTTTTTAAATGTTTTAATTTGTTATTCAATATTTATTGATATAAATTTATCAAGTAGTTTTAGTGGTTATTTTTTATTGATGTCTTGAGTTCAGATGGTTATGTCTGTAAAGATTGTGCATGTTGTCAATAATTAATAAAATTTATATATATTCATAGTTAATAAAGTAAGACTTAACTAAAATAAATAAATTGATTAATAAAGATTTTATATATTTCTAGTTAATAAAGACTAAACTAAAAAAGTAAATATTTAAATTATATTCTTTTATTTATTTTAGGTGTTATTTTTTAAGATAATGTTTAATGGTTTTTGTTACTCTGTTAAGTGTTTTATCCATCATCATTATTATTAAAAGAATTCGTCAATTATTTAAAAAGTGATATTTTGAAGAAAAAAATAAAAATAAAAAAATTTAAATTATTTTTTTTCAGAAAAATCCTCAAATTCTTATATAATCTCAAAAAACAAATTAAACCTCTGAAATTTCTAATTTCAAACCCCGATTATCATCATTGATCATCTTCAACTACTATTACCGTCATCAAACATTTGTCCACTCATTAGCCGATCATTATTCTTATTGTCATTCTAATTCCCTAAATCCCTAAAGTTCTTTATACCCAAATTCCTAAGCCACTAAAATTCTTCCGGTTGGCATATTAACATAACTTTGATTGCAGTAATGGATTTTACAGTCATATTAACGATAGCATATGAAGATGGTTGATGACGATAATGGGGATTTGGGATTAAGAAAATTAGGGATTCGAATTTTTTTAGATTTTAGAAAATTTTGGTATTTTTTAAAATAATAATAATTTTAAGTTTTTAAAATAAAATTTTCAAAAATTTACAAAATTGTTCCATGTAATGTTTTGAATGGTTGACAAAATTTCTAAAGGTTGTTAACGGTTAGGTACTTAAAATTGTATGGAAAATTATTAGACACTTATCTTGACAAAAAAAACTTTAGGTAGTTAAATTAAATTAAAATTGTAGTTTTAACACTTATTTTTTTATTAAACCATATAATAAATTAAAAACTAAAAAATATATATTTTAAACACATTTAAACTCGTAATAAATTGAATAAAGATATAAATTTATAGCTCAACAAACGGCGAATTTCCCCAAAAATCACCCTTTCCCTCTTTATTTTCCTGTCATACACCCTTCCATCTTTATTTCTCGATCTAACAACCTTTGCATAAAGGCGCGACACCTTAGGTCACGTGTTGAAAGGCGCGGTGTAACCCCTTCAGACCGATGCGGGTAACCCGATCCGATCTGGAGTGTCACATTAAAGCCACCGGAGCGACCCATTGTAAAAATCTCAGAAAATTTAAAACTTTTATTTTATTCATGTAACTCATAAAATGATTTTATCAGTATGTAGAGATAAAACCGATTTTCAGACTCATATATAAAACAAAATACAATTACATGCTCCCTAATCACATGTACCATACTCTGCAAACAACGCCGGAAGAACTTCTTTACTGATGTCGATAGATGCACTGGTACGATTCTTTTAACCTAAAAAAGGTGAGTAACAGAGTGAGCTTTAGAAAGCTCAGTAATACAGAACTACCAGATGATGCTGAAGAACGTGCAGATACAAATAAACATATATTTCCTTATCGGTTCAAACATCTACAAATCTTTATGTTGAGCAGAGATCCTACTGGTATTTCAGGTAATAACAGATAGTGAGCTTCCAGTTCAGAGAAATATTTCGGATGACTGAGTTTAGGAGATCAGAATAGGTTATCTTGTGTGTTCCCATAAAACCAGTAAAAAGAAACAAATCTTTTTAAAACATATTTTTATCCTCATCCTTTCACAATCTGTTTGTGTAGGTTCCCCAGAACCATACACCCAACCCACACAACCTGTAAGGCCCTGGGCACAAAGCTGAGAAACCTGCAGAAATACTTCCTCCAACATTAAACCCCCCATATAAAACATTTCTCCATCAATAAACGGAGATATCAGAAATCAAAACAGAATTCAGATCAGATATCATAACAGAATCCCGATCAGAAATCAGAACATAATTCTGATAAAAAATCATAACATAATTCAAATAAAAAATCAGATAAAACATTCATGTAATTAGGGAACACACCAGAGTTTACATATATTATTCAGAGGTACTGGATAATCTTAACAGGCAGAGAAACACGGATCTTCAGTATACAGATAGAATGTCAGAAATTAGAATCACAATAGGAAGAGTTCAATAACTGACGGAATCATCAGTTATTCAGAATATGACTTAAGCTGATAAGGAAGAAATGAAGGTTCAGGACATTTATAGTCTATGTCGATTGATTTCATTATCAAACAACTCCCAGAACTTATGTTTGTCGACTGGTTAATTCATTGTCCTTCCAGGGTATTAACTCTTTAATACCAAAAATTCTTATCCATAGATCATCTTCGGAATCATCACTGAATATATCATATTCGGAATCATCACTGAATAAATCTTAAGAAAACTAACATATATTCCAATCCTCTTTATTTCATTTCCACGCTTTCACAATATCATGAAATGCTGACGTGCTTAATTTGTAGTTCAGGACCCATAAGGACATTACATCATGTATGTTCATTAACGTTTCCAGACTCATCCAAATCACTTATTTAATCCTCAGTCATTGAGGTTACTTATTTCATTTACCAGTCAAGTCTATCCTGGTTACTTTAGAGTTTTCCAGAGTAATTCGAATGTTTTCTGAATTTCAGATACATATTGTACTTCTGTTCAGTTTAGTTCGGTATTCGTGATTGATTTGTCGAACAAATATCAAATTCTTAGTACTGAATGCGATCTATAGTTGAGCTGAGTTGAATACTTCCAAAATTATCATTGAGCTAAACTTGAGAAGACGAACACATATTCAAGTAATATCTATGCCGTTCAGGTACTGACATATCATTAAGGTTGATCGGCTCACTTAAGTTGTGTTCCATAACTTTTAAAGGTAGTCCAACACCTATGCTTATTTGGATTCCTTAATTAATCCAAGACATTTACTTAGTATAGGCCATAAGGGTATTTTGGTTATTTTGGTATTCAATTTTATTTCATTCATTACAAAGCTCGAGGATATCCCATCATTCCTGAGCTTGGTGATGTTTTTAGGTCATTTCCATTACAGGGGTATTTTGGTCATTTTACAGATCTGGTGTATTTCAATCCTTTCATTCCATATGATCTTATTATTTAATTCAAATGTATTATCTTTTCCATACCTTTTGAATAATTCTGACAAAAGAGCACCCTCGATAATTTATTCTTAACTCGGAGAATTTCAGTTCAATTGTCTTCTCAGAAGTTATCAACATGTTATCAGGAATTTTCTGTACAAAGACAGAATCTTAGCAATTAAATCTGTAATTTATCGAGTTAAGTATGAATCCTCAAAGTACTTTCTCATTCAGGGTCAATTCGACTATTTTTACCTCTCAAGGGTATTTTCGTAATTTCTTAACCAAATAACTTCGGTATTAACTCTTAACAAAAATAATTATAATTTACAGATTCTATGGTTAATTGCTTTTTTGAACATTCTTTAATCTTGAAATGATTCTCTTAACAGACTTATAACATCTTGCACAAACTCTCATGGGGTTAAAAACCAATTATCCAAATCTTCTAAGCAAAACTAGCATTTATTATGCATCTGTAATTTTACCGGATCAATATGTTTTTCAGAGTTATTAACCAACTTCCAGGGACAATTCTTGTCATTTTACAACATAAGGGTATTTTTCATAATTTTACCCTATCGGAGTATTCTCATAATTTCCCATCCAAGTACCTTTGATGAAATAAATTATAAGTTACAGATCCAAGCTGATTTCTTTATCACTAAACACAGAACTTGTAATTTTAATTCTAATAATCCCTCAATTTCTTATAAAAGTCATCTAAACCGTAATCAGTTACCGAATTTTTATCGTATTCGGATCGAGTGTAAAAATTAATTAACTACACATATGAGACCAATATTATCTTATTCATGCATTTACCAATATCAACATATTCCAATAAGCATAAAGAGGTAGTAAAGTATTAGCTCGATTTTCGTGCAATACTGATCGACCATATAAATCCCATTCGAACGTCCTCGATCTTGAAATCAACTTCCAATAATTCCTTTGATGCATATC